CCCCTCCCAGCCCTCCTTTCCGGCTCTCACCCTGGGCCTGGATCCTTCTGGACCCTCCCAGGTCTCTCCTCTTCCTGCCAGACCTCACTTAAATACTGCTTATCTGATGTGTGTCTTTCAGTTCTCAGCTCAAATGTCACCTCTTCAGAGAGGCTTTGTGGAACTAAGCATTTATAAACACTTAACCCTTCGGACTTCTGGCATCTTTGATGATAGCTTATGTTGGATTAACTTTGCTGTCAACAAAAATAATCCAGAGATCTAAGAAGACACAACTATTTAAGGCAGACAGAACCTGATGTGCACTGGGCTCCTCCTGAGGGCCCTTCCCAGCGGCAGGACGCAGGGACACACTGCTGCCGAAGGGCATCGTGGCAGAGAGGCTGGAGAAGGGGTGGGAAATCCTGCCGAGAGAGCCACCTGGGGACACTCCCACGCCTGCCTAAGGTCCCTGCTTGATGCCTGGTCTCAGCAAGCTCATGAGACTCCACTGACCCTCGGAGGAGCAGGAGGAAGGCCGACGTGGCAAAAGGGAGACTTCAGAAGCTTCCTGGGGTCGGGAGACGGACGGAGCTAAAGTCCCACCACCCCAGCTGGGTTTGGCCCACACCTTGAGCTTTCACTTGAGATCCCAGGAGACTGGACACTTAGGTGAAAGGCCACATCCCCAAACTAAAGCTCATATCCTAGGATTAGGACAAACACAGCCCTAACAGAGTCTGCAGCCAAGCCCCGCCCCCCACCCCTGGGATCCAAAGTGACCTGCCAGCCACTGCCCTGGCTGCCCCCACAAAGCACAGCTCCTCCCCAAGGCAGCGTGTGGCGATGGTGCCGCGACCCGAACTGCGTGCCTGGCACAGAATCAAGCCTTACTAGACACACAGAGGAGGAGGCGCGCCCCGCAACCAAGAGCAAACGGCCCAAAGAAACACAGGGAGTGGCAGTGTTGGGATCTGCAGGTGGGGACATCAAGGAGGAGGGGTGAATATGTCAGATAACGAGCAGGAAAAGACGGGGCACAGGATTTCAGAAAGACATGGAAATTCTAAAAATGAACCAGATGTAAATGCTCAAAATAAAGATGATATATAAAGCCAAAAAGTCGGTGGATAGACAGTGAGTCAGGATCAGAAAGCTAAAAGAGCTGTTGCAGGCATCGTCCCAGCAGAAGCCTGCAGAATCCAGTTTATAACCAGAGCAGGAGGCCTGGACTCCAGCAGGGAGGGGGACAGGAGAAGCCCAACAGGAGGGCGGGGGAGGGACGGAGAGCATTTGAAGAAATCTCTAAGCCTGACCTTCAGCAGGACCTCCAGGTGAAGGGCCAGAGAGGCCGGCAGGGGAAACACAAAGGAAAGCACACCAGGGCTCTGGGAGCAGCGGTCAGGGCCGCCTTCCTCAGCACCTGGGGCAGGAAGGGCCCCGACCAGGACGAGGGTTTCCTGCCACCCAGAGGGAGCAGCCCAAAGTCCAGAACCCACACCTGGCAGGACTAGGTCCAAGAATGGAGCGGGAATAAGGGCTGAGACAGCGGGCGGCCATCGCACACCACAGCCCCGAGGGGGGGGGGGTGACATGCCCTCAGGGGGACATGCGGGCTGGG